AGAAACGAAATAAAATAATATTAATAAGAAATATAAAAAAAAATAAAACAAAAAACTGCTTGGTTTGATATTTATTTTGAAATGAATGAAAACGCGTTTTTCCATAACAATAACCCAAATGACAGAATTTTTGTGTTAAAAACAAAATTAAATAATATCTCAAATTATTTCTAAAAAATAATTCAAAATAAAAGAAAAAAAAACGAAATAAAATAATATTAATAAAAAATATGAAAAAATGTAAACCGTATAACTGAAAAATAAAACAAGAAAACCACTTAGTCCCATATTTTTTGAAATGAATAAAAACTAATTTTCTTTCCACATCAAAAACCCAAAATTGAATCAGAAAAATGAATAATTTCAGTGTTAAAAACTCACGTTTGGCCTCTGCTGTGTGGAAGGCGAAGACGAAAGCCATCACAGCAAGAAGTAGAACAAACGATGACCAACAATTCATCTCTATTGCTATGAAAGAAGGAGCAACAAAACTGTTTGTTGTCTTCGACGTGTTGAAGTTTTGAAATGAACGAGGCGCTTTCGCGCTCGCCTTTTCATTCAAAGATGCGCGAGTCTAGGAGGCCACCCACACGGAGGGGAAGAGAGTGGGGGAAGGAGCTTAATTACTATTAAAAAAATTTAGGGACTTTTGGCAATCCCACCGAAACTAAACGAATTAACCTTTCAATCTTCCTCAACTTATTATTGGTTAAATCAACAAGAGTTGTAAAACTAGGAGTTCGATTTTATTGCAAATATATCGCTTTACACAAACGTTTCAAATTGAAATTTGAGATAACGGGATAATGAAATTAAAATCTAAAATGTTTCTTTTGCATTAGAATACATTAACATTTAATTGAAAAATTCGGGTAAAAATAATAATTTGCATTTTTTGTTTTCGTTTCAAATTAGTTTGCTTCATTTATTTGGGGGCACACTTAAACTCCTCCTTTGAAATTTATTAAGTGCTACAGTTGATATCCAAAAACGTCAAAGAGGGTGAATTAATTAAATTACACGTGTTTTGTAGCTACATCAACTAAATTTAGAATTTATGACACAATAACCGGAAAAATGTTATGACAAATACTCAAATAAATACTGAAAGGGTCATATTTCAGGGCTTTGGTAAAAGAAATCATTTTTCAAGTCGTCGACACTCGCTGTAAATTTTCCCTTAAAAGCATCTTGGTTTTAATTTGATTGTTTGCAATTAAAATTTTCGAATCAATCAAATGGAAGAAGAGGGAATTTATTTATCTATCTCAGAAATCTGTTATTATTTCTGGTGGGGTATTAGGAAGAAAGCAATTTGTTGTCGTCGACCATGCAAAGTGTATTGTTGTCGGTTTGCAATCACGAAAAGAAATAAGAAACGAGGAGATCACTCCCTCTAGGATCACACCAATTCCCGATTACCACTCATCCACGATCTTAGGGAAATTACTTTAACGAGGTCGGAGAGCGTAATAGAAATGTCAAAAACGAGGAGAAAAACTGGAAAATTCGCTTTTTCAAGTAGAATCAACAATGTGTTTCAGCGGTTTTTGGAATTTTTGACWAAATTTAGACTCAGGGAAAATAATCATTTTTTTTTTTTTAAATTAATTGCCTAACAATTCTTTTTTCGTTTATTTATTATTGACAAATTTTTGACATAAAACAGTGTCTGTTTTCAAATTTTGATCATTTCAAACAGTATTTTTTCCTCGCTTTGTAGTTCTCTTGAAAAATTTGGATTGCAATAAAAATAATAGATTTACTTTGTTCGATTGTTTTGTTGGCATTGTTTACAAATTTTTGGTATTTTATAGTGTCACTTTTTAACATTTTTTATTTTGTTGTTTTTTTGAAAATTTGTATTTTGGTTTTTCATAGTGTCATATTTTTAAATTTTTTATTTTGTCGTTCTTTGGAAATTTCTGACAAAATTGAGATACTCAAACTTTTTCGTTTCCAGATTTCAGTCAAAACAATCAAAAAGAAAAGCAAAACGAAAAATTCTTTTTTAATTATTTATTATTGTAATAAAAATGATATATTTTAAGGACAAAAAAATAAATGAATTATAATATTTTAGTTGGTAATACTTTTTTCGATTGTTTTCAAATTCTTGGTATTTTATAGTGTCGTTTTTATTTAATTTTTTATTTTGTCGTTTTTTTGAAATTTCTGACAAAATTTAGATACTCAAACTATTTCGTTTCCAGATTTCAGTGAAAATAATCACAAAGAAAAGCAAAACAAAAAATTCTTTTTCCATTATTTATTATTGACAAATTTTTGACATAAAACAGTGTCTTTATTAATATTTTTTCAAACTATGAACATTTCAAACGGTATTTTTTCCTCGGTTTCTAGTTTTCTTTAAAAA